CTTGTCTGGACTCTGTGCATAATATCAGTCATGTGGAATTCCTAAGGTTTAGCGGAAAGAAGCATCTCAATTTTGTGATGTGACATTTTCCAAATTGGCCCAAATGGGAGCGCAAATGCCGTATTTGTTTGTTAATGTGCCAATATCTCAGATACCGCTGATGTTTTTTAAACACTGATTGGCCCGGGGGAGCCCAAAGGTAACAGGTGAAAACAAGTAGATTTGTTAGGGATTAGCCACAGGGATGCTGTGCTTTACTTTCCTGTAAACTGGCTCATTGCTCATTTGACCGTGTTAATTTCTTGTGATTCTCTGAAAGATTAGATCATAATTTTTTTCCTTTCTTTTTTCTTCCCTTGGTAACCACATAGTGTTTCAGAGAACACACCGCAGTGCTTTGCAGGATATGAACAGGCTCTGTGCAGAATATATGCAGAAAGCATGCTCTGCCTCAGAGTATTTAGTCTTCATTATTGATTCATTCAACATCAGTGTGAGCAATCTGAGCTCCATGCCTTTAGAAATCTTGCAGAACACACTGTACATACTGAACAGTACAGTTCAAAACAATACAGATGCATTTTTCATCAAAGCCCTGCCTCTTTTCCTCATTTTCCCTCCATCAAGTTCTATTTATCTTCTCATGCTGTCAGGTAAAAGGAGGGCAGTGCTCTACTCTCTCTCCCCAGGAAATGTAACTCAGTCCTGGAAAGATGTGTGCCATGTGTGACAACCTCTATCTGGAGGTGTTCTAGAGGAAGACGTGCTGTTAATGTGTCTGTATAATTTCCATCTGAACACATTCGGAACGGTGCATACCTCCAGTATGTGTGAATTTGCATAAGTGTGTGAGTGTGCGTCATTGTTGTGTGTATGTGAATGTGTGCCCAGGGGCTATTAGCTACAGTCTAACACAATCCACTAATGACTAAACAGGTTTCAACTCTCAGGAGATTTTTCAGCCAAAGCAAGCAGACAATATTAACATCCTTTCAAAGTGTCAGTCACTCAGTCAGTTAGTTCCACTGCTCATTCACTGGCTATGAGCCACCACCATGTGAAGGAGACTGCAGTGAGTTCATCACTTCAAAGATCAAACGCTAGATTTGACACAGAGATATTCACACACACACATTCTCACAACCTCTGGTATATATCTTCCAACTAACCTTTCTCATTGTACCCAAAATACAGAAAATCCTACCTGCTAATACCACTACACAACTACTGATAAACCACACATACATATGCATAGTCATCCTCAAAGTGTCTTCACTCCCTCTTGACCTCTCCTACTGTTCAAAACACACACGCACACTGTGGTACTCACGGTTTCTGGGTTTGTCATCATCCAAGCCCTCCTCTTCATTCTCTGGGTCAATATCTTCAGCCTGGGTGATCCAGTCTAAATAGCCCTATATGCACACACACACACAAACACAGAAAAAGAAAGTACTGACTGCTAAGCAGAACTGAATGAACAAAAGAAACACCAAACTTCAGTTATCGATGACTGTTTTTAATGTAATTAATTAAAAATGTTATCTTTCATTATGTACCTACATATATCCTACTCTTATAGTCTTTCTAGGTAATGTACTGTAAATACAAACAGTATAACAACTATTTATTTATTTGAGTTTTGATCATTTAATGTATTTTCTTGTCTGTCTTTTAAATTCCTCTATCCTTCCTTTTTCAAACCCAGCTGAAACTCAAATAAAACTGCCTTGTGAATGAAGTTTGCTAATGAAATTTGAGATCTTTGACCTCCATATTCATTGGCCTTTCCCTGGCTAGCGGTAAAGGATGTTCAATATTTAATAAAGTCAAAATGGCTACGATAACATGTTGTCTTAATTCTTATCTAATGTTGTACATCTTGTGGCCTTACTTATTAATTTAATAGTGACACATTATTCTAAGTTGTATTAACCACTGGGGACTGGGAGCTCTAAAACTTTGATGTAATTCTTGAAAGCCTGACAGCAACACACAGTAAGATGTGGCCAATCGAGACTATTACATCATTTTAGAGTGGGACATGGAGGTCTACCTTGAGGTCCTCCTCCAGTTGTTGTTTTTCTCTGAGTTTCTGGAAGTCACCACGTGCCTTGGCCTTTTCCCTCTCTTTGGAAAACTCTCTGGGAGGAGGGGAGCAGGATGGAGGGATAGAGGGATGGAAAGAAAGAAACAGGAAACAGAGGGAGGAGAAAAGGCATCTGAAAATCTAGACTGAAGGTTTTGCAAAACACAGGTGACAAGACTGTGATAAAACAGAGCATTATACTTCAGAGTAGAAAGGAGGGAAAACCTGTTAAGGAGAGAAACAAAAGTAAAATGAAGAGAGAAAAGTTCTGCCAAGTAGACAATGTATTAGTGTGCAAAGAGAGATGAAAGCACATCCACACAGCCAAACTAAAGCTGGCTTCACATTTGAAACAATCCAAGTTACTGTAAACTCAGTTCTGTTTTTATATTAGTACAAACTGCTTGAACACACAATAAGCCTTCATATAAACACACAGTTTGAGAGGCTCTGCAGTACGCTGGCAATAATTAGGTTTTATCTAATCGCCAATATCCAGGATGTACTGCCCTATGGTTTTACTGGGCTACTTGTCTACAATTTGTTCCTAGTACAAGATCATCCAAATTGACAGCTGATTGTGAATCACCAGCCAGACTCCCTTTATTCTATTTACATATTTGCTGATCTGCATCTGTCTCCTGCCAAATTCAATCCAGCCACCAGACCAGATGCCCTCAAATTTTCCTTCTATTCCCAGTCACCTGACCTTAAGTTTTCTCATCAGTTCTATTGAAACCTGACAGTTCTACCTTCTTGCGTCAGGTCATCTATTGTGCCACACAAGCTGCAGAGTTCCAGGGATTGGTTTGCTCTGATCTGTTTGTTTTTGACTTTTCTGCCTGCTCCTTTTGCTCTTACTGCCTTTTTTGTGCTAGACTGCCTGTCCAGCCTGCTTGCTTGTAAGCCTGTCATTTTCATGATTAAAGTTACTGAACTGCACCTGCCTGCTGGTGAGTCTGCATTTGGTTCCTCCATGCCCGTGCTCTGTAAACCAGCCATGACACATAAACAAAGATGATTTAAGACTAATAAAATCAGTGTTAGAATGTGAAATATTATGATGAAACCTGGTGAAATTTCAGTTAGGTATCAAGATGGAAGAAAGAATTAAGGAGCATTTGATTTAACACTATACTTAGGCAAGGTCAAAGGCAGGTTGGAGTCAAAGACATGGTTTGAACAAAGAAAATTCATTTGGATTAGAGCTGACAGGTGCTAGGAGCCTCTGGTACATTTGCCTTTAAAAAGTGTATAAATTCACATTTGAAGGTCGACAAGAAAATTCAGCAAGTGACTCAGCAGTAGAGTTTCCTCACACCTTGTCATCTTGCATTTAAACATTGCAGTTTGGGATTTTTTTTGCTGCTACAGAAGTCTGAAAAAGATTTCAAACTAAAATTTCTTCTAAGTATACTCAAACAGGCATTATGCAATCACTACAAAAAGTTAAAGTAAACATGAGGGATGCTTTGTGTAATGTTAAGCTTCACTGTTCCCTGGAGAGCAGCAACAGCCTTGATAATGAAGGACTATAGAGAGTCCTGCCATTCTCATTGATTTTTGCAGTCAGTCTATAGTCTGGTAGTCTGGAACAGAATCAGTATGTGTGTGTGTGTGTGTGTGTGTGTAAGAGAGAAATTTAGAGCAATGACAAACCCTAAGATCACATCTACAAACTGCAGAAACACACAACACAGATCAGTGAGCATTAGGACAAACTGCTGTTGTCTTGTTTGTCAGAATGTTAGCAGAAATCTCAGTTCTATTGATCTGTGCTTGTGTGTATCAGTGTGTGTAGAAGCTGTGTGTGTGGGAGTGTAGTTGTAAATACAAAACTCTTGAGGCATCATTTTGTCACTTTTCTGCCCTGTATCATCTATGAATTTTCTCCTTTCCTCATCAAATCCAGACAAATGCAGTCACACAGTGTTTCTGTCTGTGCGTTCACTGCCCTCATTCTTCCTGTTTAACCATTGCTTATTATACCAAAGTGAGACCCACGCAGATACACCACGGAGGAAGCAGTTGGTAAAAGGTCAGGCTGTGTAGTGTGTTGACAGCATCATTAGTCAGAAGTCAGACAAAGACTAAGACAGCCAAACCCCCCAAGCTGTTTGGACCAGATAGACCTCTATTATTTTTACCACAATGCTGCCGCCACATCACTGTGGATATCAAGAGTTAGATTCAGGTTAGTCAGTCAGGCTAAGACAAAAAAAAAAAGCTACTGTAGGATTCAAAAGTTTATAGCTTTTAAACAAAGGTAAATTATTGTGGCCATAAGTGTGATATTTGTATGGTTGCATATTTGGGTATATTTTCATAAGCATTTTCATGTATTTCAAAAAGGTGAAACCCAACTGCCAGCAGAAAAGTATTTGTCAATACGTTTACAGTCGTCTATGAAGACGACTTTTATTTGGCCTGATATTACAGTAGGCTGTGCCCACTGGGAGGCTGAGAATTTATACACTGCTGCTAGCCAATATTTTTCTTTATTATAAATGGAGATGGCAATGCTTTGTGCCATCTTGGTAGTACTGAGAGTTAAGCATTTCACGATCGTAATAATGCTTTTCTATAGAGGCAGCACAGTAGAGCCGTGTTTAGAGAGGCAATATTCAAAAGGTCTGGGTGGCAGAGACTCTGCATCTGTTCTGCTGAAATTTCCTGAAGCCAGATGCTGAAGTATAATTTCACTAGTCAGCTACAAATGGTAATGACTAGAACAGTATGAGCAGTTAATGGTAAGGCTCCAAGTCCTCATACACATGTGGTAATGCAACAACTTTGCATACAAGCATCACCCAATAGTAAACAGTATAAATGTAAATGTCAGCTGTCAGGTTATACTTTTCCTTGTGCCACATGTGCTAGTATGCACTGTGTATTTCTACACAAGTCATCAAACTGTACCTGCACCGCTTTTATTACAACACATTCCTGTACATACTGTGTACTTGTTACATTTAAACCACATCTACTTCCAGATACAGGAAAGAAATATAGAGTTCCAAAGTTCCAGCAAAGATAAGCAGCAAAGCTCTCCAAGAACAAAAGCAAGAAGGTGAGAAAGAAGTTAGTTTCAAGTGACCTTTGACCCTACCCTTACCCGCTCAACACCCCCAGAACCAAGTTTAGCACAAAGAAGGATCCAATGATGATTAAGGTGACAAAATAGACCCAGGGCCACCTGTAACCTACTGCATCATTCACCTAGAAGATGGAGGAATGGAGGAGAGGGACCAAGGAGTGGCGACAGAAAGGAAGGATGGAAGGTAGAGATTGAGGGAGAAAGAAGTAAAATACAGATGTGATCAAAGAAAAGATAAATAAAGAAATGTTAAGAGGGAAGGAACAAGGGAACAAGGGAAGTTGTTAGATCCTTAGTTAACATTCCTTCTGCACAATCCCTGCAGAAATAGAGCATTTGTATTTTTTAGAGTCAGTTAGTGGGCCACATGGTGGTGTATTTGATCAACTGTGTTTAACTTAGGTTTGAAAAATTACAACTCAATGTACTCATTGATTTAGGAGACAAATTGGCCATGCAAAACAGTGGCAGCGACACAAGGCTATGAACAGTCCACATCATAAACAAAACAGCTCCTCCTTTAATTATTTGTGTGTAGAAGGTGAGCAGATGTAGGTCTGCAAAAAGAGAAGGTTAGAGGTTAGAATTCAGATCAACCCATTTCAGGCGTAAACGCTGTGGAGGGAGAGCATTTTAGTGATACATGAACATCATCACAAATTATTCTTGATCAGTGTAATCAATGTTCTATGTTTTATAAATTTTGAAAGCAATTTTGATGTGTTACTCACTGTTACTAATATTATAATACTGCCATTGTTGTTGTTGTGTTATCATTATTGTACTGTTTTTATATCTAATGACCAAATTATTTATATCTGTATACCTATTTTTTTTTCTTTACAGCCTTCCATCCAATAACTTCCATCTTTAGCGCCATGTTTCCACCAGAACTTTTTCTGCCTGCTCAGTTTCCCTGTTGTCCAAGATTTTTTTTTTCTCCATTCACCCGAGGGGTGAATTATTCATGCTCCACTGTGTCCCTACAGGCTGGGTGGCGCTTGTATTTAAACAGGATGACTTGGCAGAGAGGGGGTACAACAGCACCCAGCTGGCCTCTTAGAGCAGAATTTATTGAATCAAAACACACACATAAACACATTACATTACTGTATGTGAACAGCAGCATGTGCCACTATACTGCACAAATGTACAGATGGCGCAAGATAATTTGGCACATGAGACAAACATGTATGGAAATCAACACACATGTATACCCACAAAACTAGACTCTAAATGCAGTCAGGTTTTACAGAAGGAGTCTGGAGTGAACAAAAACAGCTAACTTAAAGAAAGATGACACAAAGACAATAAGAACGTTGCTCCTGTATGTCATTAAATCTGTGACTGTCAAAAGAAGACAGTCCAACAAGTCTGGAAGTGTATGTGTGTGCATTATCCACCTGCTTCTAATGTGTTTAATAAAGTTTACAGCCTCCAAACAAAGTGCTTAAACATACTTTGTTTTCTTAAACAGAATTATTGCTATGCAAATTTAATAAAGTTGGCCCAATAATAACAATAATACTTATAATAATACACAGCCTTTTTTCATAGTCATGGATTATTTACTCTGAGTTCAACTCTTCTCTGGTCACTGGATCCTCAAAAATCAGCCTTAAGATGTGTTTTAAACATTTGGATAAGGGAGTCTTGTTACATGGACATTTATCACATCTAGAACACTACCAGATCACAAACAGTACACATATCTGTACACACACAAGCACACACATGACAACAAGATAACCTCTTACCCGCTCAACACCCCCAGAACGAGATTGAGAACGAAAAACGAGCCGAAGATGACAAGAGAGACAAAATAGACCCATGGCAGCTCATAGCCCATAGCATCCTGCATCTGAAAGTGCGAAAGGGGGTAGCCGAGATAGAGTTGAGATAGAGATAGAGGGAACACAAGGTAGGTTGAGAAGAAATGTGAGAGAAAAAGGTTTGAGTAGGCAGAAAATGAACAAGTGAATGATGGGGGGCAGTAGGATAAGAAAGAGGGAAAGGGAAAGCATGACAAGCAGGGAATAAGAGAAAACAAGTGCATGTTAAAAACAGCAGTAGAAAGGCCTGGCAAAGCAAGAGTGGCAGTATTGTATGATTAAATGTGTGTGCACCCTTATATCTGCCTGTTGGAGAGCAGGTCGTTGACAATCCACAATTAAGAACACTAAACAACACTTAACTGCAGATGCTTTTGAAACTCAATGAGAAAACTTAGCACTTACACAGAGTGTGTGTCAGATTATTGGAGTGCACATAAATTCAATGGAAGGAAATATAGAGAAAAAATATGAGCAAAGTTGTTTGTTTTCGCTCTTATAAATTAAAGAGCAGCCATTTTAACACACAATCTACTAGGCAGAGAGAGAAAACAGGACACGATGGAAGACAAGAGACCTAGGCTTATTTTGCTACAACAGCACCAAGTGTCATTAATCTATATTCCCAAAAATGTGACAATAAAAACTTTGAAAATGCATGGCCCAGACCTAATGGCCCATGCAAACCAAATACATTTAAAGGCTTGGTGTTGCTAAATGTTTTCCACAATCATTTGTACTTAAAACTCCTGACAAGCAGGAGCTGGCTACACCGGCGCTTTCATAATAAGTGATTTTTTTAAATTGATGTGATGCTGCATGTGTGTCTGTGTGCAAAAGGTTATAGTAGATAGAGAAGTGGAAGAAGGGGTGTAGAGCTAGTAGGTTCAATGCTCTATGTGTATATGAACACGGACTCAGCAGACAGACAATAAGATTACACACTCTCTCTCTCTCTCTCACACACACACACACACACAAACTGTTCAAGTTACACTGTCATCTACCTGAGGAAATGTCAGTCTCTGAATAAACTTCTGTACGGTACTGTAAATCTTTCTTTTCTTTTTCATCCTTAATAATTTTTTAAAAACATTTTGAATAAATTGTCTTTGTGTTTTTAAAGCCATACCTTCATTGCAAAATGCTTTCTCAGGAAAGCACATGTGGGAGTTTGAGCAAACTGTCTTCACACTGATTAAGAGCATGAACTGATCTGCTTATTCCACTGGACAGGGCTGGAGCATGCTTCTGGCCATTCTGTTCACACCCCTCTGTGGCTGTATGCGTTGTGTGTTCGCCTGACACCTGAATAAAGCATCAGGATTCTACACACATTCCAAATGTCCTCTATTACACAGTGTATTGTCTGCATCAATTTAGCCTGAGGTATGAGCTAACATGTACACACACATCAACACCGTCTCTGTCTGTCTGCTTTTCTCTGAACAATCTTTGTGTGCATACCTGCTTTTCTGAGAGGAGTGTTTGTGTTACTATTTTATTGCTTTATATTGTTTTCTAAAAAGCACTCATGTGTTGCTGATGTTATGATTACAGTATACTGGTTACACACACACATAAGACAGTATAACACTCACTCAGGCACACACACATGCAAAGACAGTATTATGGCGTCCGGCTCACCCAGTATAGCACATCCGTCCAGCCCTCCATGGTTATACACTGGAACACCGTTAACATGGCAAAAGCAAAGTTGTCAAAGTTGGTGATGCCGTCATTTGGGCCCTCCCATCCCATTTTGCACTCTGTTCCATTCAGTTTACAGTGTCGACCGTAAGCTCCATCAGGTGCGCACGGTGCTGGCTTTTCCTCCGCAATGGTGCCTTTGACAAAAGAAACAAGAGTAAGCGGAAAGCGTTTTACCGTCTTTATCCCTTTTTTGATGAGACTATATTTACACAGTTGCAAAGCAACAGAAGCTGCAAAATTTGTTATAGATAATTACATTAACAATAGCGCACAATATGTCTGTCTATGTGTATGCGGCTGTTTATGACAAATCGAGAACAATTTCCGTGTTTGCTATGGTGGATGGTGCAAAACACTATAGCCATGAGACTCAGCCGGTTTCTTTGGAGCACTATGGTATACTCTGCACTGACAGCAATAATAATCAAAGCATAATCTTTTGCCTTCACCAACAGTATGTCTTTCTTACCAAAATGCTACTTGGGAATTGTAAAATAATGTTTTTCATGTTTTTATGGGCGCAAGCTGGTACTTAATTTTTTTTTATCAAGGATTTTTTTCTAACACATCTTTTGTAGTGATAGAAAAACATCAGTTTCATGCCCATCCACTGAAACATTATCTATGCAACAAGGCTTTTACTTCATGAAGAAATACAAAATAAGCATTCATACACTTTTGGTTGCTCTACATTTGAAAGAATTTTATCCCAAAGAAACAATCCCACATCTAAAATAAAGTTAAAAAAGGACACACTAAAATCAAATAGAACAGCAATATAAAAAAAAATCCATGTGGAAAAAGTGTGCTAATTATACAAAACAAGCTCTCCTGGGTGATGTGTAGCATAACAGAGAGCATTCAACTAGCAATTTCCCAGTGTAAAGCTAATGTTTCTCATGGGATCACCATAACAACTCTCCAGTCCATTTATACCTGGGGGCCTTTACTGAAAATTCTTTCAATCATTTACGGCGGCTGCTGTTTCAATTATTGCTCAAATTGTTCATACTCAGAAACATAAATCATGGTTTAAATAATTAAAGCAGGTGATCATTTAAACCCTTTGCCTTGCTTGTGGAGGGTTGATGGCTTACTGCAGTCTAAGATTTAAGGATAGATCATTCAGACTTATTGGAATAGTAAGGTGAGCATTCAGCCATGGCTGACTTCGATATCACAATTGAAAAGGCTCGTGTCGCACAGCATTCACCTCTGTTTCCATCACTGATGCAAGTATGTCTCTGTGTGTGAATATGTGCTTACTGAACCATACTTTCACACACAGTTGAATACATGATTCAAAATTTATCCGAGCATTGAAGTGCAGGATTCAAGTGTATGCATCTTTGAATCAGTGTGCAATCGACTAGCTACTCTACCTAAATGCTCATAAATGCAGGTCTTGTGCATCTTGCCCATGAAGAGCTCCAGGCCAATGATGGCATAAATGATGATGACGAAGAGGACCAGCAGGGCGATATGGAGCAGAGGAACCATGGCTTTGATTATGGAGTTCAACACTACCTGTAAACCTGCAGCACACACAAAAGAGAAAATGCTGAGAATACATACGGGATGTAGGTTTATTCAACTGATTCTTTTTTTTTTTGTCAAAAATGTATTAGTACATATGATTTTGTGTATACAGATACACATCTTATTAGATCACCTGTAACATTTCATCTTGAACCTTTGCTTGAAAATTCATTTCAAATGTTTTTTAAATGTTTCACAGGCAGCTATAACCACTGACTGCGATTCATTTATGCAAAATTTCTGTTCCTATAAAGCATGAATTCTGTATACTATTACGGCTCTATAGGAAAGGAAAACAACAATGATGAAGTAATTCTTTTTGAACTGTAGCTAGTAAAGAAGCCAACATTTTTCCTGTGTAAATAAAGATTCTTCAGCTCAAGATGATCATATTTACATTTTTATTAATTTGGATTTGGGTGAACATGGTTGTTGTGTTATTCATGTATAATTTGGAGAATTAAATGCAACTGCTAAATTACAGTGCCTTCAATGACTGAGGAATACTTGGAGTGGTAACATAGTACTTATTCTGTATATTGGTTGTAAAATGGGAAGGGGAATGGCTGTGGCATTTAAAACATCTAGTCTTAATTAAAACATGTTCATTTCAAGATCATTGTTTTGGTGAATTCTACTAGACATAAACAACAATGGGATTGGAAGCTTTTAAAAAGACAAATGTGTCAATCACTGTGCTCATCAGCTAGCAAACATGCCTCTGATCAGATGCCATGACACCAATTCAACACATAGCCCAGTGATGCTGGACAGGGTTCATTGTAAACACTGTGCACTGCAGCAGTCATGCTTTTAAAACAAGCAAAGGTGTGGGATGTGCACTAGCACCCCGTGCATTCATTTGGTGCTGTTATCACAACAGCTACTGTACCTTTCTCTCTCACACACACAGGTAGGTGAACACACTTGCACAGCCTTCCTCACCGATATCCCTTCCTGACATCTGGCTTGTTGGATTATTGATTTCTGTAGTCACTAACACAGACAGGCTGACAGACAACTCATCTACTATCTCACAACAGGACATGAGGACTGTGTGTGTGAATATGTGTGTATGTGCATGTGTGCATCATTGAGCCTGTATGTGCAGTATCAAGCATCAATATCAGCTCCAATCTGTGGTTCATTTGTTCCACACTTTAGCCACTCACTGTTCACACCTGATCCCCAGAGCATTCTTTCTTTTTTGTATTTCATTCTCTCTGTCTTTCTTTCACAGCTCTCAATACTTACTGGGCACTCCAGAGACCAGTCTGAGGGGTCTGAGTACTCTGAATGCCCTCAGAGCTTTGACATCGAAGCCTGCTGCCTTCCCACCAATAGGAGTGGCTCCTTCCACCTTGGTGGCCTGCTCTAAGATTGCACTGAATAACCTGCAAGACAGAAAAGCAACCAACATCTCATGTTGACATCAAATTTCTACATATTAGAGAATGTCTGGAAGAGAGGAAACAATAAAAAGAGACATACAGAGACAAAGCAGATAATAGATACTGTATCTGCAGCTGTTGTCATTAAAGATTTTCTCTGAACCCACTGTTGTCAATACAAACTGAATCATCCACATTATCTTTATCATAATCTATAAAGCAACGTAGGTGTTTAGACTTAAATTCAGACGGCCTAAGACCAACATTTAAAAGCAAAGGGAATAATGAAGACATCTGCACTGTTTCAACAATGAAATGCATTTCTCAGAGAAAAGTCAACAGTGGAAAATAAAACAGCTAATTAGTTCGCTCTCCAACACAACAATAGAATGTGTTTCATCTGTTCCCTCTGTTTTTCACAGATAAAGAAATGTGAGACACTTGGATTTAAAGATTTGACATTCAGCTCCACAGAACACTGTGCATTGTGCATGTCTGTAGTGAAAGAGGTGTCTTCATATTGTGTTGGTGTGTGTGTATGTCTATGTGTGCTCCCAGCACTACGATTGAATATAACACAAATCTACAGATGTCACACATCCGTTCCTATCTCACTGGCACAAAGTATGCAGAAATACACAATTATACAAATTCTTGTGCTCTATTTAAGTGTTATTTTTTTCTGTGTTGCTCTTTATTAACTATTATCCTCCATGAAATAATTTACAGACATCTGTTTATGTCTCGTGGTATACAATATATGGCACAAATATACAGACACCTCTGCCCTATACTTTAGTGTAATTCTGGTCTGAGGCTGTTGTTCATGGTTTGTGTAAGGCCTCTTGATTTTATTTAAGGGAAAATTCTGATCCCCGGTTTTCAACCTAGGGGGTTGAGACTCCCCAGAAGGTCACATGATAGAAAATAGGAAAGTAAAGCATACACACACACACACACACAACTTATTTCTGTCATAAAATTGTTAATTTATTCCAAGTTTCCTTATTAATAATCTGAAAGAGGAAGCTCATTGCAAAAACAGAGTTCTCAAAAACAGAAAAGGGTAATTTCACTTCATTTCAGCATTAAGATACTCAAAACCAGTATTACAATCTCAATAGCAAGTTATAATATCTTATTAGGATCTAACTTAAAAAACTGCCTGTTTGTCAGACAAAAACAAGCATCTATTACCTTGACTTTATCTTCACTTTGGTCATACTGCTCACAGCTTAAACATATATACCTTTTGATAAAAGACTGGAAGTTAACCGTGCTTTGTTAAAGCCAAAATGTTTGGTTTAGCAATAGTGTCCTCTCAAATTTGTGATAACTTGAGGACGGCCCTTTGCTGTTCAAACCTGACAGAAAACACATGCAGAGCCAGGTCCATAATGAAATATCTTCTCAGAAGAACACCAACCACATGCCGGGCCTAAACCTTACTTCTCACCTTCACTAACACTCTTGTGTCTGAATGGGACTAAATCCCAGGAGACTGATTTAGAATTGTTGTGATAACCTTTCAAGAAAATGGAGGCTGTTACAGTGAAACATTAATGACAAAGGTAATGTTTTGTTTTTCACACATTTGACCAAATGTTAAGCAGTACATAGAAAACTACATAGACATACTTAACAATGCAAATATAATCTTCAATAAAAGGCCAAGACATGTTTTTATGCTGTATCCTTTTGTTAGCTATTATCCTCTATAAAATTATTTACAGACATCTCTTTGGCTCACAAGCTTGAATTTATGTGCGTCCAGCTGAGCTTATCACTCTCCCTCTTCTCCCTCTGTCCCTCTGCAATCCTTTAGAAATCACCATACAATACCATTTTCCAGCTAGCGCGGCTCAAAGGCCAGTCAGCGGCACGTTAGTCATGGAGAATTATCAATTAGCACAGATGAAATGGCCACTTGAAAAGACCTCTCAAAACATATCACCCGCTCTCTCCCTCTCACACTCTCTCCATTTTGCATTACCTCCCTCTCAATTTGATTTACTCTCTCTCTTTGTCTCAGTGGGAAGCACGCCTTTGAAACCGAGTATAAAAAACATGTCAAGGATCCACAGTTTTGCACCACCAGCATTTCGCCCAGCATGTTTTACTCCGCTGGGGTGTTAAAAGATAAATAGAGCCTTTGTGTGTAGCACCACGTAATGGCTTGTGTACATCCACAGCTAAAGATAGTACTAACTGTGTACATTCATCAAGATATCAGAGGCTGTGAGGGTTCATAGTAAAATGTCAGCATCACACTACTGACAAACAGTGAACTCATCTTTGAACTATTATAAATTTGCATTAAACCTGCAGCTATGTTCATTATCAATTAATCAACTGTTTGTTTTGAATAACCTACTAATCATTTAATCTACTGTACTGGACGTCACACAGTACTGTAGTGAAAATGTCCATCACATGCTCCTTTATTTAAAGGCAGGGGTGCTCAGTAATTTTTTACAGCGAGCCATTCTCACAGATTCCGATCATCAGGAGGGCTGCAATAAACTGACACCACTGAGTAACATAAAACGTTACACAAGATATAATAAAGCAGTTACCAACATGATCAATTTTGTTGCTCTTCAATAAAATCAGAGTTATAAATCTTATTCATAAATGTTAGCACACATACTGTAGCTTTAAAATGTCATTCAAAACTTCATCTTTTAAATTTAAGAGCACGTCTAAGCACAGCTGTTCCCACAAAGACAAAGTAACTTGTTGAGTGTTTATTTTCTATGGCATGAACTTTTCTCTGGCTGTTGTCTCTCCAACTTTGTCCTACATTGGACATAATTCACTCTGTGTAGCTGTCGGTTGTTCTTGCCCAGGCTGCTGTTGTTTTATCACAGAAGATGATCCACAATTTGACATGGGCCACTCTTCTGATGGCGATTCAATCTGCTGACCTCTCGATACAACTGAAGTTTATAATAACAAGGTGCTTCTCCCTCATGCTAATCAAGTTTAGAGCAATACAAAGGCCTACATGTAAGACCGAGGCTATCCTGGGCTGCAAACAGATGCCTTGCAGGCAACATGTGGCCTGTGGGCTGCACAAAATCTATCTATGCTCCAAGGTGACACTTTCAGATTGCTCTTTTTACAGTGCTTCACCACCAGTCCAAAGCCTACGTTATAAAATCTATAGTGATATAAAACACAGTCACAGAAAATCCATATATCAAAGAACCTTTGACTGCTTTGCTAGATAAATGGCTTTACATAGCTGATAATTGTTTTGTTGATTGAATAATGGATTTATTGATTAAATTTTTCATTGCAAAGCTGCAAGACTTTAAATGGTTTCCCATGGTCTTTATTCTTTTTTATGATAATCGTACAGCTATTGGTACTGTTAAAACAAGACAAAGTAGGAAAGATATGTAAAGCATAAAGAAAGAGTCTATATACTACCTACTGTTATTGTACAAGCACACACACACACACACACACACACACACCCTGAACCTTCACTAATAAACTCTGGGGCTCTGGGCTCTAGCATTTGTGTGAATGTGTGACTACATGTGTCTCTAAGGCTGCTCAACACCAGGTACAAACTCTTTCACCCATATGGTAGATGTTCCAGAGACAGAGAACTCTGTCACCTCTCATCTATCCACACAGAAGCACAGGTGGGTTGGCAGTTAGGGGCACACAAGCACAAAGACAAGCACTCACTCATGCACACACAGCAATACAGTGCTGCCACAGTTCAGTGTTTCCTGGCTCTGTGTTTTCTCTCTGAATCTTTCAAAGTGACCATACACACAAGCAAAATGCATATTTAAAAGTGCTCGACTGAGGTTAGGAAGAAGATTTCCATGTTTTTTTTTTTATTACAGAGGAAAATGATCTTTACCTTTCGACAATCCAACTAACTCTGCCTAAATTCTTGAGAGGACATTATTTGCACAACTACAAGAGGTCACTTGTAAGAAAAACATAAACAAGGGTTGTTTTAAGTCAGGGACCAATGCTGTGTGTCTTTCTCATGAGTACAGTCTCCGCTGTCATGTCTTCAGACTGATTTTTACTGGTTTTCAGTTCTATGTACAAATACGCAACATGCCCAAGCTTTGCTATCATCCTGTCAAAATTCTAAACTGTATCTGCGTCAAAGGAGAAAGAACGACTTTGTGTTCTCTAACGGTGTGCTTATTTTGGCCATGTGCCGAAAGACAAAGAAGTCACAAAGTGACAAAGGAAAATTTTAAGAACCCTGGGGAGGTCTCGGGAGGCCATCCAGGTTTAATCTCACAGAACAGCAAGCATTGACTTTTCTGAAGTGTCCTTGAGTGAAACACTGAAACTTGTCAATTTCACAGCTGCAGCTTGTATCTCACCTTCTAACCTCTTGTGGTAAGTTTGGAAGGAGCTCTCTTACATGGATCAACACTGTATTATTACACATTAACATGTTGTGACTCAGCGTAAATGTTAACATTACACAATTATTCTGTTACAATAAAAGCCATCATTCTAACAGAGACAGAAAGAAACAGAGAGCGAGAGCAGCAGCCAGAGATAACAGCAGTGGTAAAGGTTGTGTTTATGCCAGGGGCACTGGCACCATGGCGCTAGCTGAGGGGTTTTGTCTGCGTCTACACAGTAAACCCAGCCATGTTCAGTTAGTGATGGCTAATGTGAGTGAAAACTTGACCGGCAATGAACAAGACTCACTGAGTGTGTGCACATGCTGGTGTGTTCACACAGCCTTCCTTCAGGTTGAGGGATGCTTTCTTGCTATCTTGCTCTTTTGCGCACACACGGCCAATTAGGCCATTTGAACGGCATTAATGTAACCGTCAGGTCCACTGGCTATTACAACAACACACCACTGTACACAATGCACAGCTGGCAGGCATGCATGTACTCACACGCACACACATAAGGCACATAGGATTTAGCAGATGGGTTAAGTTGATGAGCTTCAGATAAAGAAAAACTGCAGAGCTTTGCTACAGTATCATCATCTAACAAGATAATCAGATTAGGCTTCACCAACACACTCTAGGCCAAAGTTTACTGTGGCTTTACTACAAATTCACTGTGAAGGAAGCTTGTTATTTGACACTACTTCTTTAAAAAGTTGTTGTCTAGTGGACTGTAGTATTTTAGTATTAATAAAACATCTCATACACTAAAAGATCAGTATTAGTGTACTATTATGTACACTATTACATCTTTCATCTATCAGCAGCAAAGGTACATTTGTATGATTGAGAGAAATAGATTTAGATAATTGTTCAAGCTTCAAGTGAAAATTCAATATGTTAATAAGGATGAATGGGAGTGCAGCTGCTTCCTTGTCTTTACTACAGGAATCAAAGGTGTTCACAAGAAATGTGCTCTTAATTTGAAAGACTGTAGCACTATGAGAACCTCTGGCATAAGAGACAGGTTGTTTTGGCTGTATATTTATTTGTTGACAGTAATTATACCAAGGTACTATGATAAATATGCCAGTGATGGGCTGCTGTTAAAAGTGTCAGGTAGTGATTTCAAAAACACTGGGAAGAGATTCAGAGTTTCAGTTATATCATATTTGCTATCGTTTTCACTCCCAGCACCAAACTACATACAACAGATTCACTTAGGATTATAAATAAAACATTTCACAGGATCTATCTCATCAATGCATTTCGTTTCACTCACCCTACGACTACAATGATGAAATCCAGCAGATTCCAGCCGTTCCTCAAGTAGGCGTTGGGGTGGAAGAGCAGGCCGTAGGCTATTACCTTTAGGAATGCCTCCACTGTGAAAATGATGAGGAACAGATACTCCACACGCTCCTGTAGAGGAACACAAACAGGACAGGTCCATTTATTGCAGAAAGAATGTAGAAAGACTTAGTATGACAGAGCACAAGCATTAGAGAAAGATGACAAGAAAGTAAATGAAAGAAAAGAATACAGAAAGGCCTGTTTGCAGTAAGCTGATTAGGTTTAAATGCTATTAACAAGATATGATGCAGAAACACCCGAAAACCAAACATTCATTCATAATTCCTAAAATCAAACTCCTTGCAGTTCCCTTTTTCTTTTGACAGGTAATTTTATTAGAGCAACTGTCCATAACAAAGCACTCATAACATTATTTATTTATGCCCACATCAACACTAAAGACCTTGAATGTGAGAACTAAGAGGCTAAGGCTGCATACTCCTCTGAGTTTATTATCAGAACAAGATATCCTTTTACAGATTGTGTGGCTTCTGGTGTGTGTGTGTGTGTTTGATTATTTATGTGTGAACTTGTATTTGTCTAAGTTGTAATCATGTACACAATCAAAGCAATTTGATTATTTAATCAAAGTGGCTGTCTTCCTGTCTTGAGGGGCTACTGTCTGATGAGGAGGGAAATGGATGTGTGTGTATAAAAGCATACAGATGGAGGAGGCTACAACAACGTTTATGCAGAGTGTTGACAGAGTGATGACCTCTGCCTTACGGGGTCCTGGGAAATGTCCTGAAATGGCCTTAACAAAGAGAGAGGGGGATTATATAACTTTCTGACAATCGTACATTTCCAAACAATTCTTCACCCATCCCATCATGCATCATAGCTGACTCCCAAATGTATTGTGTCATGCCTATACCTGAAATGAAATTAAGGCAATGGTGCAAAACTGTTGAGCTACTGTGTAAACAGAACAGAACGTTCTCTCCCTGTCCTTCTGAGGTAAAATTTTTTAAAGTAAAAATATATTTAGCACCATCCATCCATCTATCCACCCCTCCATTCATCTAAGTCCCTGCTCCGCCCCCTGTTCCCACTGCTTTCCCATGGATGCACACTCCCAGAGGGCCAGAAAGGCCAACCAGGTCTCTTCAGGCTCCAGCCTCATCCCTGGGAAGAATCTGTTAAACCTGAATCTGGAGGGACGGAGCTTCTGTATGTAGTTTACCCAAACAGCTGCACAGGCTGACAGGGTTAGCAAGGAACGCCCACATAACAATGATAACTTGATATCACAAGGACCTTATTCAGGCCTATTTACAGTATGCATGCACTGTTCTATAAAAGGTATTGTAAAGAATATCATGGCCTGGTTATGTTAAATTTACTTTTTCAGGCAAATAAAAGCCAGATAATATGGCTTGGCTAAGTCTGAATTACTGTGGCATTATCCTTGCCCTAGCAAGAAGGAGCTATGTAGCTAGCTAAATTAAAGAGCAGCTGCATAGCATGAAAAAAGGTTGGAAGGATGTGAGTTGCTAATGTTGTAACCGTACTATCATGAAATGTGAAATTGTACAATATAAGCATCACTGTAAAAAATGCTGCTATGAAATAGAAACAGCCTTTTGCATAAGTACATTTAAAAATGTAAAAATGTTAATGATTCAATAAAAAAAAACTTGCTCTGTTAGTGTTTTTAATTTTTCTTTAGCATTAGATAAGGCTGCATTAAGATTTCTGTTTAAGCTGATGTGAGGTCAGTGAAACAAACTACCATTAGCCTGATTACACATTAAACACATACAGTATATCCTGGTCATTCATGTAACCACAGTTTGGCCATGACTGCTGTGTGTTCTATTTGTACTGTAAATTTAATGTTCAAATTGAGTTTGCAATGTGATATTCAAGTTGGTTTTCGGAACACTATAAACAAACCTGCATCAGTGACACACAGATTACAACTGCTAGATATTGATAAAAGTCTTATGCTTTGATTTTTGGATTTAATGATGTGATTATCATACATATTGTTATTTGGAAGTGTTTCCCCATATGTATAAATGTTCAAGAAGCTTGACAGTGGAGGGAATAACATGAATGAAAGATGAACAACAAGCCAGGGAGTCTGCCTCTGCATGGGCAGTTCAGAAAGCTGTCTTCAGCTTAGTTTGTTTCCTCTGCCTATCTCTCTAACCTCCTCTCATTTTAATTCAAGCCCATCCGGTGTTCTTCACTGGCACAAAAGTATCCATCTTAAAGATAACAATCAAGAGTTTAACATTAAACACCTGTCTTCCTATTCTACCTCTCTGCGTGTATCAGTTTCAAAGACTTGCATATCGATTATTTTTATATTCGTAGTCTGTGTGGAAGTAATTAATCTCATACACACATATCCTCCCTCTTAAACACAAAAGGTCTCCATCACTTTCTCTCTCTCAAACACATAAGAGGTGCATACACACCCAGGCTGTGAATCTACCACTGACAGACAGACAGTGCGGCGCTCTGAAGAATAAAACAGAGAAAAACATCTGGTGGGAACAGTTCAGCCTGACATGCAAATACAGAGAAACACTTCGGTGCCTCCTTTGCTACTGTTCATACAGACCCATAAAGGGCAAAATCCATAAGGGGCCAACTAATCTGATTAGTGGCTGGAATGAAATGAGAGAGAAAAGATGAGAGACAGAGGAAGGAGGAAGGTAGATGAGAGAGAGTGAGGGGAGAAGAGAGAAAGACAAAAGAGTTAACGGGAGAAAAACAGAATAACAGAAAGGTGAGTCTGTGGGAGCAACAGTTCGGCTATCTGTAATAGGTCAACCCAACCGCTTATCCATCAACTAGGCCAATCAGATCATGGTATTGATGCCTGTACAGCGGACAATGTATCTATTTGCCATGACCTTCTATGCATCTGTGTGCTGCAAGACAGGCTGTTTTTGAAATATCACGTGAATACATCATAGTTTAATGTGTATTTATGCTTGTGTAGTGGATGCTTCTTTGATGCAATGTTCAGTGCCTGGAGAAGAACAGAAAAAAACCTCTTGCACATCTGTACTGCTCAGCCATTAAAACACACACAAAAGCATCTACAGTGGAAAAACTTGGATAAAAACACCATATGTACTATGACAGAATGATTTAACACCCAACAACATGCATATACCTTCTAATCTAATTCATGCATTTGATCTTAAAGTGAAATTCCTACATCCAACTCCAGCAATGCTGCAAATGTGAACTCCTCAGCCATGCAAACAGCAGGAAACCCTTGCAGAATCTGGTTTATTTTTGCTGACTGAACATTTCTGTGCCACCATACCATAACACACTGCCAGCATCCATAATGATTTATTCAGGAGTAGCAATCACAGTAAAACAGTACAAGAGTCTGGACTTGTGCACTTTATTATTGGACACACAAGAAGAAAAGAAGACAAATACAGTACTGTAAACTGAGACAAACAGAGTGAGAACATTATTCTATTTTATTTAATTAACCTTTTTGTTATAACTTTTTAACTCAGTCATTTTTCATGTCATAATGACACTGCATTCAGTGAGATGATTTCTAAATCTGGGATGGTGTTTTACAGATCTCAGCAACTAGTGAGAATCAGTAACCACAAGTGCACAACTACTAGGCACAGTATGTAAGGCATATATGCTCAGTACTCTCTCCTTCTGTTTAACAGTCCAACAACCACCTCATCTCAAGCCAAATCATCTTCCCATGTGAGACTGTAACTCAGCAAAACTAGAGGCTGAGACAAAAAAGGAATACAGAAGTAAAACTCTTAGGTCTATGGACAACTTTTGATGCTCAGTTATATTAAGAAAACATTACTTAAACATCTTCTGTCTTGTTAATGGTTAACTCCTTCTCACTCAGATCTTTTTTCTCTCCTCTTTCTTCCCTCATTTCTATGTCTTCACCTCCTCTCCTTTCCTCCACTCATCTCTTTCTGTCTGTGGGTCCCAGTGACAAGTTACCATAGAGACCAAGATGGGTTTCGATGTTACCATGGAAACTGTAGGCTGCAGCAGCTGACTCTCTCTCACACACAGATGACACTGATCAGTATTGTACTAAGAATATCCACATCACAAAGTCCTAATTACTACTCTTCACTCTGCATCCAGACTTCCTATTGTGTGTCTGTGTGTGCACGTGTATTGTGTGTATATATGTTTGTTTGCATGTCAGTGATCCTTGTCATTTACTTACTTACCATGTGCCACCAGTTGATAGAATTGAACTTAAGGCGGGGAAACACTTGATGACTAGCTAAAACCTTCTAAAGCTGGACAGGCCACACTTAAAAGTCATGCACAGATTTTTTTTGTCCCTGACAGTTGGGAAAGGAGCACATGCACCTTTGAATGAACAAACAGTGTGGACAAACACACTTAACAGCTGTACAGAACAACAGAAAGTTCTGGCAGTAGACAAGTCTGTAATCTCATGAGATCACGTCAATCCTTGTGTTCTTTTACCAAAACAAATACGGATGCAGCCAGCTTGCAATGTTAACATCTATCCACTGTTTACAGTCAAATTTGTGCTGAAAATGACAAAAAACGAGAGAAAAGATCATGAATGGAGCGACGTAGACAACATTGAATGTAGAGTCCACAGAGGGAACTGTTGTCCTGTTGTGATATCTTTGATTTAATGTTGTAGAGGTATTCATTCTTCTGCCGCAGTTCACTCAGTTTCTCCCCCACCTCAGTTGTCCAGCGGACTTTCACGCTACCGTCCTTTTTACATGCCATTCCTGAATCTTTACTATTAACTTTTGTTTAGTTACCACTACGCCTCCCTCCCAGTGAAAATCCACAGTTTGCCACAGCTCTGCTAAAAGTCTTTGGGACTGTTTAGCTGACTGTATAGACACTGGTGTTTGTAAAAGAAAGCACTCCCACCTCTGATGTTTAACTACTCAGAGGTTAGTCTTGGGACGAATGAAGTAAAGGGGTACAAAGTATAATTGGAAGAGTGAAAATCCACAGTCACAGATACACTAAAAGTACTATACTAGTATCTACACTCACATGTTACTACTTCATCCTGTCATCTAATTATTACTTTTAATTTCCATTTAATGTTTTATCTGTCTGTATGCATTTTATATTTTATTATTTGTGTGCATTGTGTTATGCACTTTGAATTAAATTGAACTGAAAATGTGCTATATAAGTAAACTTGACTTGACTTGCACTTGAGCGACATGTATGTGACGTAACATATTTTTAAAAACTGGCAGTGACCGAATTCAGAGACTTAAGGTTAGAATCTTTACAGGTAACAAACTTTGAGACAGAGTACTTTGAGGAGTATAGTTAGTCTGGGTAAAATGAGTAAACAATTCATCGAATTACGGCCTGGTTATTATTTCACGTCAGTGGGAGGAGATTTTTTTTTTTATGGAACTTGAATCTTGGATTACGTTTTGGGTCAGTGAGCAGTTGGTCTGTTTTGTCTATGGTAGTAATTGCTACATAATGGAGATCAAAAAACTACAAATCAAAGCTGACGGCTCTTAAAAGAAGCTGTAAAAAATGATAATAATGTCATATCATCTTTTGATGTGAAACCCACAATAGTAAAAAACAGCAGCAGCTCTTTGGGTCACTGTGACAGCACTTAAGACAATCTTCTTGTTAAGTGAAGAGTTCACCACAGCTAACAACCATAAAAAGAGAAAATTTCCACCTGAAAACTCTCCATCCTCTGCCCTTAACTAAATACAGACACCAGATTTTTACAGTTACTCAGGATGATGAGAGGAGAATCAGTGGGGAAGAAGCAGCATAGAGGTTAACATTTGTAAGGTGGCTAGGCAAAATAATGACATTCTATTTAGACCGCAATGATAGGACCTTGGGTTATAAAGCCTCATAGTGTATAGTACATTTTCAATCATCTTTGTCACTTGCCCTGTGCTGTTTGAGTCATAAATGGAAAAGTGTTTTCTTGTCATGCCGCTCACTCTCACTTAATGGAAAAACAAGTTTCAACGCATAAATAAACAAAGCAGATTCTTAGCAGATTTTTAAAAACAAGTTGACTTAATTAAAAAGGTCACCTAAGATTTCTACATTATAGACAGGAAGTTAAAACCAAGAGGTTCCACCAAATGTTCACAGATTCTGTGGTTTTACTGGGCAGGATGACAAAGCAAGTCATGCCCAGGATAAAAAAAAAAACAGAACTATTCTGTAGGATTCCTGCTTTGGGTATAGCCTGCCTTTGAACTCTGTTGCTATTAAAATGTTCAACATGAGTGTCACTAACCAAAAATAGTTCCAGTCCGTGGGCCTGTGGGCAACAATTATGCTTGACTAGAAAGGACACGAGTATGAGAGAAAGAGAAAGACACAGATTGTATCATGTCATCACCAACCTCTAACCCTTGGCCGACCCCACTGAAGACCACATCAGTTCATCACACACACAGCCATTGCCTTTACCCAACACATCTAGATGATTTAATTCCCAGCAGCTCACAGTAATGTGACTCATGAGCTTTTAACTACGATTGGAAATATTAGCTTAAACTGAAAATATTCTAAGAGCAATCATATTTCCAATTTTCTGCATTAATGGGGACACCACGTTATTAAATCCATTACTTTTCTTGTTGTGTTTGTTTTTTGTTTCCTCGAGCATTCTGAATATCAAAGTTTACAGAAACACTAACTCCTGTTTCCAGGCAACAGGCACTGTAGACAGATAGAAAAAGACAGAAAGAAATAATTATTTTTAACTGTAACATTATTATTTGCTTTAGTTTTGGTGATGTGTCTAAAATGATAAATAAATGAGTTTTATTTCTCATTCCATCACTTTTTTTTACCAATATACATTTTTACAGTGTCAATTCTTTGGTAGGTTAAGATCTAAAGACAGAGAAAAAGTAATAGAGAAAGCTAATGGTTTGGTGAAAGAACTTACAGCTCCAGGTCACATGTTATCTCAGTTTGTCTTTGTCTTACACAGAAAATGTCACATACTATTTTTTTCTTCCTTTATCAATTTCTCTTGCTTTCACATACACCCTGTTAACAAGCACTGTTCCTCTCTGGAAGAAGTAACTGGGCTAAAATCAAGCTTCTATTTTGCTAAATTAATAATTCATTCGTTCACCTTTTTCATCATGCATCAGGAAGAACACCCTTGTCAGGTCACTACCAGGCCATTACAGGCTCTAACATACAAACAAATCCAGGGTTTCATCTACAGAACCAACGTGACCTGTGTGTCTTTGGATGACAGAGCAGTGTGCCCATATTGAAGGTAAAAGAAACATGTAATATGTAGCTTCAAATTAAGAAGTAGAAAACAGCAGACAATATTTAGAGGATAGTGGTAAAATAGGAAGAAGATGGAATTGAAAAAGAGAGCAGGATGGATATAGACAGAAGATAAAGAAAGAGTAACTGGTCTAAAAATAAAAACAAAAAGACAGGAGCATAAATCATGTTATATAGACAACCTGTCGGGTCCACTCGGCGCAACCTACTTCTCTTCCACCTTTCTATCCTCTGCTCTCTTGATCTGCGGGATCTGCACCTCAGCTGTGTTGCATTCAGTAATTAGCGACTCGTTTGTCGGTGCGCACAGCTGGGGTGCATCCCAATGATTACCTGTCCTCCTTATTTATACCTCTGGCAGATGCTCCGTCGTTGCGGGAGCATTAACGTAATTTACCTAATGTGCATACCCCGTGATAGCCCTATAGTCGTGGTATGTATTATGCGTCATTGTGTTTTCCACGCTGAGAATGCCTGTGCTGTGGATCACATTTTGTATGTTGGTTTTGTTGTTATACTTTTATAGAAGGCCAAGCTGACAGGTTCTGTGCTGTGGACCTATTTGCACGTTTCTGTTTCTACAAGCTTAGCGAAGTGTACATATAATTCAACGCTGACAGTTCCTGTGCTATTGTTTTCTTTGGTCGTTCGCCACACTCTTATTTTTTTTGCCTAGCCGTCCTCGTCCTCCTCTCCTGGTTCCGGCCGTTAGTCTGTCTACTCCCTTGGTCGTCCTGTTCTCCTCAGCTGCCTTTGCACAGCCCTGGTTGTATGTGTTTATTGACTCTGTCCCTTTTTGTGATTCCCACTATTAAAACCACCTTTTTTACTAACACCTGGGTCAGCACTTTTGAGTCCAACCTCAGTTCTCCCTCACCCTCCTGGTGAGGGGGACTAAACCTTAACACAACCAGTGTGTGTGTTAGTGAGTGTGTGTATGCTAGGTGGTGTCTGTGGGGATGGTAACTGGTACCCTCGAGAGAGGAGAAGGAAGCAGGAGGAAAACAGGAGTGAGACGCTGTATAGAAAAAGAAGGAAATGAAAAGCTGAGGTGCAAAGACTGAAGAAACACTGTTGTTTTCCTCTGTTTTCCCTCCATTGCAGCTACCAACAAAGATTCACTCCTTCCTCTTCTCACTCATGTGTAAAATGCTACAGCTCCAGTTCTACACTCTGGGGTGTGTTTGTGTGTGCTGACTTATCACGTTTTCTCCTGTCTCACCACACAGGGAGACAGATGCTGCACGGCCCTTCCACACAGACACACAAACTGAGGAACAAATGAAGACAAAGTGAAGTGACACACAGATCACTGTAGCGCATCAAGATCAGAGGAGCTGCTTGCTAAACTGACAGGACAAGACAGATTACTACACTCTGTAACTCATTGCATGACTCATGGTACAGAGCGTACTGTATGTGTGCAGTTGTGTGTCTGTGATTGTGAGTCTTCTAGTATGCCTCTTGAGTAAATCATGTTGTTGGCACTTAAAAGGAATAGGGAGTGGTTGAAAGGGGCTATTGAATGACAAAAACATACAGAAGTAAATCAATATTGTACATTACAGATATCACAGTCACTCACTCGAATGTCTTCCCATTACAGCTGCACATGAAATGTCTCAATATCATTTGTGTTCCGTCCCCCGCAGGAACAAGTATACAGCACTTACAGTAATAACAAGACCAAGTTTTCAAATTACCACTGTGAACAGCAACATTACCAACAAAAATAACCAATGTGAATGATTCAACATTGGGCACTTGGAAATTACCCTATCTGACATTGTACAGACAAAACTATTAAGTGAGAACATAATCATCAGAGTAACTGATAATATTAGTGCTTACTGTAGTTGCAGTCCCCTACATTTACTAATGATGTCACAAATGGTCATTTGTGTTAGTGTTTCCCTTATGTGCAAGTTATCACAGCTTATTTAACTGATGTATAATGCTCATAACTTGAGGATTAAAGAAGCAAAAATGTTGTTTTCACAAACAATGTCCAATAAATATGTGTCACAACTATGGAGTCATGTGAACATTAATGGGCCGCTGAGGCCTATGCTTAAAAATATTATGTTTCATTTCTCAGAAATGATACAAACATATTTTGCCCGCACAAATGTGCAGAACTGCACAGAAAGAATTGTTTATCCTGATAATATGGGCTGCCTACAGTACTTCAAAGAGGTGCACACTTAGACTCAACTAGTGTAACTTTGTCCTGTGAATTTACATTGTTAGTCAGAATGTGTTTGAATATTCAGTCTTATTCACAAAGCTTCCTAAGCCTAAAAGTTGCTCCTAGAGACAAAATTCTAAGAAAACTCTTAGAATTATGACGTTTTTTTTTAGAATTTCCCCTTAAATTTAGGACTAAATCTTAGTAAAGATAAAAGTGATTCACGAAACATCTTAGGCCTAAGAACAGCTCTTAAGGTAAAAATCCTTAATCCTATAAAACCATTAGTATCATATTTGATACGTGAGCTTTCTGAGCAAAATAAATCACCAAAAATGCCCCATGTATCGAATGTGATACAAAAGAAATAGACATAATCTAAATAATATGGCACCTCTATTCCTATATGCCAGGGCCCGTATTCACAAAGCTTCCTAAGCCTAAAAGTTGCTCCCAGAAACAAAATTTTAAGAAAACTCGAGTTATGACGTTTTTTTTAGAATTTCCCCTTAAATTTAAGACTAAATCTTAAAGATAAAAGTGATTTACAAAACATCTTAGCCCTAAGAACAGCTCCTAAGGTAAAAATCTGTAAGAGTAGAGAGGAGGACTTAAGAGTTCCTCTAGCAGCTGACAAAATGGTGGAAAGAAGAAATATTCTCGAAACAATGAACGACCGTGAGTTAATTAAACGCTACAGATTGGATCACGATGGGATTATGTTTGTGGTTGACCTTATTAGAGATGCGCTCACATCTCCCACCTCTCGTAGTAATGCCATAACACCAGAAATCAAAGTGATTACAACGCTGAGGTATTTGGCAACCGGAAAGATGCAACAGTGCAGCAGTGATGACTTGTGTCTGTCACAACCTTCCATCAGCAGAGTGATCGCACAAACTATTGAAGCGCTTTCACAGTGTCATCTAGTGACACGGTCTATTTCATTTCCACTGGACATTCACACTCTGCAGACTCACAAAAGGGCATTCATGGACATAACAGGTTTCCCCGGTGTTGTTGGTGCAATTGATGGGACGCACATTCACATAATCGCATCATCGGAAAAGACGTTTTTGTGAACAGAAAGAGGTACCACAGTATCAATACGCAACTTGCTTTCAGTGCAGATTACAAGATTGTAGACATGATGCCAGGATACTGTCCGAGAGTGGCCTGAGACAGCTTTTTGAAGGACATTATGTGCCAGTAAACTGTCATTTGTTAGGGGACAGTGGCTATCTATGCAAACCATGGCTCCTCACACCTTACCTCCACCCAGACCCAGGACCTCAGCTAAACTACAACAGGTACCTAAACAGTAGACTAACAGTGAATCGTTGTGTATAAAAATATAGTTACAAATGTTCTTGAATATACCACAAACAAGAGATAAGCTATGTAATCAAACATTCACATTATTGTTGAGCGCATTAGGCCACCTTAACTTGTGATGTGTTTTGTACTGACTTTTAGAGCCCACAAGAGAACACGCTCAGTTGTTTAGCGGGGTATTGGTCAGCTGAAGAGGAGGTTTCATGTGTTGCATGGAGAAGTGCGCCTGTCACCAGCTAAGGTCTGCAAAGTCATTATGGCCTGTGCAGTGCTTCACAACATCTGCGAAGCACGATAAACCCCAGAACCTCTCGAAAGCAGCCATGGTAATGGCAATGAAGATGATGGTGTTGAAGATGATGCAGACATTCAGTTTACCCAGCGCAGAGTGGGATTAGTCACAGAGCTCAATTTACAAATTTGCATTTTCGGTAAGTAGCAGTTGATGTCATATCCAAACTGGTGTCTGTAGCCTATTGAACAAACATTCCAACTGTAGTTGAACACAAATAAAGACCACATGACCATGATACACTTTCTATTTTTCATTCATCTTAGATTTTATTAGCTCGATTTTTAACTTATAATACTCCTCCTGTAAACAGAGAACTTTTTTGTGCTGTGTGAGGGTATCAATTTCAATTTCCAATTTTCTGTCCAACAGGGATGTTGCTGGGATTGCTGCAGCAGGCGGGCTAATCTGATACACCGGCTGAGGGTCAGACACCTGCAACGTTAACGGCCCCAGTTCCTCTGATGGCTCCATGCTGCAGAAAATGCGTAATACAATGTTTTGATTTATTGTATTGTTTGTTGTTCACATGCGAGAGCACAAAGCGTGGCACATTGTCTGTATATTAAACAGCACTTGATATTTTTCTTTATTTGCCTATTGACTACTTGTCCTACCTTTGCTGTAATCCCATTAGCTGGATCATTGAGCTGTCTGTGCCTTCCTTCAGCCCAGTGACAGAGTGTCCAGAATGTCCAAGTTCATTAAATACTGTTTCCGCTACCTGAGACAGTTGTTTAGCAGGTGGTCCTCCACCTAAAAACACAGTAGCTTAGGTGTATAGTTCTGTAAGCATATTTAACCAAGCAAGCTATAGTAAGAAACTACAATATCACACACCTGTGCTTGAAGAATCCCGTTTGTGTGCTGCAATCTCCCTTCTGGCTTGTGACTGCAACATATACCACCGCTTTTCACATTCCTTGCTGGTGCACAAGACCAAAAGGAATTGAGGAGTTTATTTGGCGAGATATTTTATCCCAGGTCTGCCTCTTTCCTTGAGCTGTGACACCGGAGCCAAATTTACTTTTTAAAATTGCTTTACTTTCTTCCACTAACTGAGCTAAAAGTACATACTGCTCTTCTGTCCAATTTGGTTTTCTTGTTTTCTTACTTCATTCCATCTCTCTTCAATTGTTGGCTACATATCATCCAAAGGTACAACTTACATAAACTATCCTGCAATCATGTAAATTGGTAAAAGGTGTGCCAATTTGCTAGAATCTGAAATGGCTTGCAAGTACTAAAATCAGTATGGTAAATAAAGGTAAGAACTTATAGTAACTACTGCATGGAAATTAATTGGTTCAAAAGTGGACACATTTTCAATATTTAGCGGTTTTAATTAAGATATTTAGCCTATAACAAAAACTTTGTATAAAGTAGCCTGTATTCATGATATATATTTTTATATACAAACATTAAGATTTCACTGTCCATCATATTATCATATATTCTCTTTTCACAAAAACAGCATTTTTGTAAAGACCGTGACAGATTCTTTATCAACCAATGATTTGCCGCATCATCCCTAGCAACGGGGTCAACCACACCTCCTCACTAAGATAAAAGTTGTTGTACTTTCCTTGCTCAGAGTTGCTCTGAGAAGTTTCCTAAATCACTTTTAGTCTAGGACTCCCAGCTAGGACTTTTTAGGCTAAGATAGGAGCTCTCTGAGAGAATTCTAAGATGCTTTGTGAATACGGGTCCAGCTCAATAAAAAAGTAAGGGTGATGATGAGCACTGAGAAGCTGAGGGTAGTAGCAAAGTACAGATGGAAAGTCACCCTTAAGTTAATGAATGGATGTTTCTTGTTTATGTGTAAATGTTTGAGAGTTATGAAAAGAGGTCTGATGATGCACAATGGGTAATTTACACATGACAAATGTGGACAAAGAGAAGTAGGCTTACAGTACATGAGGGAGGAAATGTATGACATGATGTATAAAAAAAGTAAATATTGCCATTATCAAGGTAATTCTGATCATTTATTTAAATCTAGACTTTTATCACCATGAAGTTCAACTGTTCTTCATCTACCTCTTCGTCATCCCAGCCCTTCTCTGTTAGATGAGTAAAGCTGTGTTACTCATTCTTTCATTCACTGCTCTGCAGTTCTCTCACTCTTCTTACCTCCCCGTTTCTGTCCATGTCTACCTCTTTCATTCTTCTCATTCCCTTTCTTCTCCTTTTTGGTCCATTTGTTTTTCTTTTCTAGTATCTACATCTCTCCCTGTGCTCTCTGTCCTACCAATCATTTATCCTGTCAGCATAACAGGACGATACAGAAAGACTGGAATGAACAAAAGGGTTGATTTAACAGAGATACAAGTGAGACAAATAAATAAAGAGAGTACTGGTGTCATGCTAGTGGCATCAGAAAAGAACTATAATCACTCATTTGCTGAGAAGCACTCTAAATGTTCCCATAATGACCATCTGGAGACTTTTCACCCTGTGGGTAACCAAATGAGACTTCAAAAATTCCAATTACAGTGTTCTGATGAGTCCCTGTCTTCCACCTTAGGTTGTAGTGGCCTTCAAATGTGCCCTTTTAGATTCTTTTCTTGAATTATCAGCTTCATTGTCCCCACAGCTTCTGTCTCAAATTCCAACTTGCAATAGCAAAAGTGTTTTAAAAAGATACATCTCCAGCATCACTACAGTCAGTACACAAAAACAGAAAATGCCTGGGTTTAGTTTTTTTCTGATCCCAATGCACCAAGGTTCAGCTACAGCATACAGACCTGATAGCAACGCCAGGGACAATAAAACACACAAAATAGTAAAGCCATTTATGAAAAAACGCAAGCAGAAATGCACAAATAAAACTTAAGGATCTAAACTCTAACACAAATCCTTGCTGTAAAAGTTTCTTAATAAACACAGTTTTAGTCAGTTGCTGCAATAATGGCAGCCAAACACTGTGTGTACTGCATGTATCCTCAGATGTGGACGTGTGTGTACCCCAAAGTTCTGGCATATGGTCTGCTCAGATATGATGCTGGATGGGCCAAGAGCCATGGATCTGTGGAAATCTAGTTCAACAAAGCTGAGGGATACTTTAACCTTTAAATAACAATGAAAAAAGTTTAAAAGAGATTCAACTCTGTCTGAAATGCAACCCGATGGTTACACATTATTCAGCTAAATCAACTGAA